TGCGGCGGTGAGCAGCAGCCGGGTGCTGGTTGCACACAAGAATCCTGCTAGATTCGCGTTCTGCTGACACCCCCCCCCCCCCAGCAGCATCAGTAGCATGGGCAGGCCAAAGATGCAACAGCAGTAGCATGTGGCGGACCATGCATGCCCCAAGAATGGCATGCAGCACCGGTGTCATGCAAAAAGGCAGCTTTTAGCTGCGACGAGTATTGGCAGCGAGGACTTCTACATTGGAGCACGACACCATGCTCTAGGCCTGCACTACACAGCGCCATGCATGCACACGCATGCAGAGCATGCCATGATATCTTGCCCATGCCAGGAGCACACAGCGCCATTGACACCAGCCTTGCAGCTAGGAGAAGCAGCGCATGCATCTGCACCTGTTGTGCACGCGCCTCGCCACACCCTTCAGAAGGCACTGTTGTACCCTCTCACTCGCATCCCCAGATCAGCGACGTTGCACCGGATTACCAAAACTCATGCGGCCGCTGCTACGAGATTGCCTGTGACCCAGAGTGGATCAAGGACGGCTATGGCCAGGGATTTGGTGGGCGCCAACGCATTTGTGGTTGCCCAAGGCACCTGAATTGGGGCCATGCATCCGCATGTTAAAGCGGCTGAGCGTGATGACCAGGACTTGCATGTGGAGGTTGGGATATGCAGACGGTGGCTGCAGCATGTGACCAGCTCCAAGACCCACCTCATCATATTGCTGCCCTCTGCAGATCGCAAGAGCGTTTGCCACGATGCAAGCCAGTCTATTGTGGTGACTATCAGCGACACGTGCCCATGCAACTACCCGCAGAACTACTACAGGTGAGACCTGGGGCCGGTTTGCATTTGGCTTCGCATGGCTTGGATAATTAGCACAGGGGGTGTCTGAACGAGGATTTAGATGACCGCATATCAAGGTCAAAGGGCAACTAGGCACCCCTTGAACGGTTATCTATCCCTGTCAAATCACTACGTCGTGTGCGCACCGCAGCAACAAGCGCTGGTGCTGCGGCGACACCTACCAGTGAGCCCTGGCTAGGGCTGCATGCCAGCGGCCGATTTATTGCATGCCTTTGCATGGCTGTCACTCGCGGCGCATCGTCTGCGTGACAGCCATGACGCCTCGCCTCAGCCTGTCCCGTTCACTACCCACACCCGGCACGCCCACCTGAGCAGTTTCGACGTGTCTGTCTGGGCCTTCGAGCGCCTGGCTGACCCCAAGGTGTGAATAGTGCATGCACACGGACCGATACTGCTTGGCTATATGCTCTTGCTCACCTCAGTGCTTATTGCTGGTGCCGACAATGACATACACGTCCAGTTCAGGCTCAGATGAAACGGGGATGCACACGCTCACAGCACACTTCAAGGCTGACGTTTTCACCTACCCACCCCTGCTACTCAACCGCAGTGGGGAGTAATTGCGATTCGCTACCGTAAGCAGCTTTGTGAATGGTGCCATGGCCACTGCTGTGCTGGTCGTTCGCCATCTGTGCTTCTTGGGAGCTCTGCTTACCTGTGGAAAGTACATGACAGGGCTGAAGCTCCCCAAGTCATTGTGTCTGATGAGCCACGTTCTGCATCAGTTTGTCTGCACCCACCCCCCACCCCCCACC